ATTAAAAGAAGACAGGCAACTTGTGAAGCATGCTGAAATACCACAAGATCATGGGTTTGGTATTTTTAAAAGATCATCTGGAAAAATGGTGAGAGCATTTAAAAATACTTGCTGCCTTGCCACGAGAGTATGATTTTCTGTAGCCTTATCAAGCCACCAAGTGACTGAAGGACTGTGGAAATAAGCTGACTAAGATCTCTGAGTGTAGCTGATAGATTTGATAGTATGCATGCTAGTAGTGTAAATTGATAAATGGAAGCATAATGTTAACTTTTGTATAGGAGTTGATGCTGGGTGTAGAAGTGTGGAAGCAGAGGTACAATTCGTGTGCTTTCATTTGGCATCTTCATAGTCGCTGGCTTTATTTAGGTCTTATCCAAGTTTTCTAGCTGTGTTTCTTGGATGTCAGTTCTGTCTCCTTTCCCCTGCCTCTTACAAAATATTAGCAAGAAGATGTTTAACTTCAGCTTTAAAAAAAATAGGGGAATGCAAGGGTTAAATTAGCATTTATCATGAACTGTGCATCTGTTATTATGCTATGCTGGCATTAGTTACTTCATTAACTCTGCATTGCAAAGGCAGTACATTTCTTTCCTTGCTAAATGAACTGCTGACTCTGACAGCCTAAACTTACTGTTATCATCTAGTATAACTTCAGACCCTCCTGATATGATTTTTTTTTTTTTTAACTTGTGGTCTCACTTGTATTTGTAGCCTATCAGAAGGAGCAAGGGCTCAATTAACTTCGAAGACTAATCTCAGTAGATACTAGAAATTTGAATTCTCAAAGCCATGTAAAAGCGTACATAGTTTTCACAACTGTGATACTGATTAATTAAGCACTTGATTGAAAAATGCTGTTAATCCATGCTAGGCAATTTTACTATGAGCTGGTATTGCAGATGGTATTTTATCTCATAACAGCATCTGATGAATGAGGCGGAACATTCCATGAAAAGTGGAAAAAAATATGGCACTGTGTGCCACAGAGTTGTAGTCTAGTTGCTATAAGCATCATTTTGTTTATGAGTCATCATGATGACTTTCATATGGGAGCAGAATTAGAATGGTACATCCACCTTTCACTGGCATTTCATAATTTTTAAGGGTGTTTCTGTCTAACATGAACATTCTCTGAATGTCTCACTTTATTTCCCTGCAGATTCCCTATAAAAAGAAAGGATTATAAACATTGAAAGGGGTTACTTTTGATCTCTGGCATATGGCTGAGTACTAAGTTAACTATTTATATGAAGAGATACACCTCTGTGTTATTAAGAATATGTTCTCCTAGGCTGTCTAAATTTGCAGAGCCATAACAAGCAGCTGTAGGGATGTTGTGTCACACTGTCAATGGGAATGCTGCAGTCATTTCTGTTACTTGCTCTCAGAAAGAATACAGTGGAAGTAGTGGTAGTTAAGAAGCACAGTGGGGACAAAAGATTAAAACCAGATATTAAACAGAGGGGAGAAAAATCAATTATTTCATATAGCTTTTTGTTCATCCTTAGCAAGGAGCACTCCCAACTTTTCCTCTCCCCAGCCAGGAGAATTTCACTGAGGTAGAATACCTCAGTGAAATGCTGCTAGTGTCAGATGCAATGTTCTCATTATCCATATAGATTTAACATGTTTTTGAATCCATATTTGCCCACTAGAGGGCTGATTGCATCTTCCCCTTTAATATTTGATGTTGTCTGAGGCAGAATGCAAAGCCCTTAATTAAATGGATCATTTGTTCCCTTGAAAATGCCTGATACCACACACTACAAAACTCTCGGAAATGCAGCTTTCTGCTATATTCCAGGGCTTTTTTTAACTCATAAGGCTCATGAATTTGTTAATGCTACATAACATTCTTGCCCTCTCAGGGCTGATGCTGTTTAGATGATTGCAAAATGAGTCCTTGCAAGACTTTCTTTCTAAATGTTGTTTGAAAACCAATACTGGAATATCTATAGCTGCTAAATTCAGAGAAGAGGGGTTGGGGGGGGGGGCATGTTTTTGCTAACAGTCAGGTTTATCTTCCATTTTTATGCAAGTACCGAAGAGGTTTTGAAATACCTTCTTTATAATTTTATTTTGGAAATGGAAAAGGATGTTCAGTCTGTTTCTCTTCATTAAAGTTTATTCTAGGGAATTTCTGACCTGAAGGCAGATACCTGACAAAGCAAATAAGTAAAAGAAAGGATGCACAGAAGTTATGGGAAATAAAGTAGATGGCTTTATGGCACTACAGATTTAATGCATGGGACTATTTAGACTTGATGACATAGTAAAAGTTCATTAATTTTTCAGAACAGAATAGACTGTTTAAAATATACAGTCATGTGTACAGCACAGAAGAGATTAGTGCCCAGCATTGTATTTAAACTAGAGCAAAACTTTTAGAAAGGTATTTCTCTCAGGAAGGTAGCTGGATTCTCAAAATATCAATTGTAGGGGCCAAGTGATTGAGGCCATACTATAGCCTCCAAGCGTTGTTTCAAAGAGGCATTATTCTCGTGGTTGGAAAGATCCTATTTCCTCTTGGAATTTTTAACTTCTACTGTCACTTACTGTTTCTCATTATACCTTTCCTTGCTCATAAAACAAGCCCCTAGTAATTGATATTTTTCTCCCTATATAGATTTATATGGGTATTGACCAAGCTATCTTCTAAGCTTTTCTCCAAACCTAGATAGACTGGGCTCAGTGAACCTTTACTGCGAAGCCAATTTTCCACATGCCATCATTCTTTAAGTTTGCTGAACTTGTCTGAGTTTTTCAATAATTGTTGACTATGTGGACTTCAGAATTAGACATGCTGTTGCAAGAATAGTCACACCATTCCTGTTTACAGAAATGATACCTGCTATTCCCCTTTGTTTTGGTTAGCCATATTAGCACAGCATCGTACTGGGAGCTTGTTCTCAATTGAATGGTTCCTTATCAGCGGGCTGATATTGTGGAACAGAATTCAACTGAGAGTAATGGAAGTAAGCATCTGCTGAGAAGGAGCTTGATAAAAGTCATGCATGGGATTATGCTGTAATTGTTTGCATTAGCAGGGAACAGGACTTGGTGACTCAGAGGTATTTTTCAGTTCAATATTCACCTCAAAGTTCTTTCTAGTGTTGCTGCTTTCAAGGATACAATCCTCATCCTGTAAGTATGACTTGATACTGCAAAATGCATATGCTGTATTCAAGTCTAGCTTTAAACATTTCGGAAAGTCTGGAACAAACTGCACCAGTGTTTGGAGATAGTTGGGTTTATAAACTAAGAGCTACTTTTTTAAAAAGAGGATTCTGATGTTCCTTTTTATTCCTCATAGCTCTAATAGACCTAGGGATAAATAGCCAAATTGCTTCTGGTTGTTGATTCCGGAAGGGACTGGTGTGTGTGTGTGTGTGAGGGGGGATTTATGTAAGGATGTATTTAGCTTGTATGTTCTGTTAGGGTTTGCAATTAAAGTGGATTAAGAGAAAGATGAAGGTAGGAAACGTGAGAACAACTGTTAGAGATGATAATGAATGTAAAAGAATAATGATGGAGAGGAAAAAATGTTACGGCAAGTGTGTGGTAGAGTGCTTGCTAGAGAGGCATGGCTTCCAGTTAAATGGCTTAAAATCAAGCTGTGGCTTGGAAGGGCCTGTGGAAGTTAAGGTAGGTGCTGGATAAATATTGCCTACATTACATACGCTAATCATACTGCACACTTCATAAAACTTCTGGCTCCAGCGTAAATAGTCACAACAGTAGATGCAATGAAGTATCCTCCTGGGAGGAGACAGATATGGGGAAGAGCAGGATCAACTCTCTGTGGCTTGTAATACATGCAGAGACTTTCATCACTGACCAGTTTTGTAAACACTTGTAAAACTTGAGGAAATTCCCAGACAAAAACATAAGTCAACCTGCTGTGAATTCATGTTAGCCACCATTCTTCTGGGTGGCATTTTTTTCTCTCAAATGTGACCCTGGAAGTTCCAAGTGCAGGTTCAATTTTGTATTGTTTAATTGAAAAGTCCGCAAATGGAAAAACTAAATTCAGAGAAACCTTAACTCTGCCCCTTGGTTGGCACATATTTGGGGAAGAAAAAAAGAAAGACCAGTAACTTGGATGCAGCCTCTAACTCTGTCAAATTATCAACCACAAAAGCTTTTACCATCTTGAATTGTTAACAGTGCAAGCTTCTCTTAACAGCCTGGTGTCATGATGGAGGAACAGTTTTTAACAGCAGCATCCATAGCAGATAGATACCAACTGCTTCTTCCTGTTCGAAGAGTCTGCGTGTTATCAAATACGTTTCTGATCATTATGGGAACAGATGGGTCCAAACTCCTAGACAAAACATTTTGCATCACATCAGTAAGGTAGAAATGATGAAAGCCCATTAGACCAGTGAAATACCACATTTGATATCCAGAGTATCTTTGTGAGACCCACTAGGAAAGCAGCACTGTTGTTATTTTCAGCATTTTGTATTCTAAATACTCAAGTGTTTTTTCCAAAATCGGGAGCAGAGTTAGGTGGGTTTGGTCATAACTGACTTTGCAGTACATGGAATTAACTTTTATTATGAAGATGAACCTTAACCTGGGATTTCCAGGTTCTCCAACCTTTTTTTGACTGAAATAAATCATAGATGAACAAAGTGGGGTTTTGTCTGGGAATTGTTATTCCTGTCCCCTTCAGATTGCTGTTGAAAAATTTCCGAAGTGCTGCCCTGTCTCCCTTGTAAGCCTATTAACCTCTTTGATTCTTCCAAGACCTTTACTTGTCTGGCTGCAAGGTCTCATTTGGTCTCTTCTGCCAGTTCCTAGCTTAAGTTTGTCCCCCTGGGACTGGAGTATTCGCAGCCAAGCACAGTGTCCCAGGTGAAACCTCCCCAGAACCATATAGCGAGAAAACGTCCCTTCTTCACTCAGTGTGGAAGACCCCGTCCAGTTAGAGTTGATACATATTGGGGCTTGCCCCCGTGTGACACTGTCTCTTCCCCTCGCCCCGGTCCCAGGTGCCGGATGTGTTCGCTGACCTTCTACTCCAAGTCGGAGATGCAGATCCACTCCAAGTCCCACACGGAGACAAAGCCACACAAGTGTCCTCACTGCTCCAAGAGCTTCGCCAACAGCTCCTACCTGGCCCAGCACATTCGCATCCACTCAGGGGCCAAGCCCTACACGTGCAGCTACTGCCAGAAGGCCTTCCGCCAGCTCTCCCACCTGCAGCAGCACACACGGTAAGGGCCAGAGGAGGCTGGGGGCCCTCCGCATTGCATGTTGCCGTCATCCCAGCATGCTGTGAGCACCCTCAGTGGGCGACTGCCTGGGGAGACCTTGCTGTTTTCCGCAGGCTGGTCAGGTCTCGTACACGACAAACCGGCAGTAGTGGTATCCAACACATGAGACTTGTCACTTGCTGTGAGGGGCTGGGCGTGCACAGAGGTTAGCGCTGCTCACTCTAAGGGGCATCTGCAATGGAGTGACGCTTTCTGACAGAAGTAGGGCTGGTTGTGTCAGAGTGAGAGTAGAGTGGGTGTAGGAGGACTGTTCCCTGTCACCCCAGTGTAGTTCTGCCAAACATCTCAGTCCAGGCTTGCAGCCCCCCTGCTATTTCAGCCATAGGCTTTCCACACACAGCTCTGCCAATGCCCCTCAGTCCAAACTCTATAGTTCCTCTCTCTGGATCCTCTCCCGGTGCGGACAGACCATGGTCTCTTGAATCCAAGGGGAGCACGGTTTGAGACCGAGCGAGCTCATGCCATGTTTGGAGTTCCTCCGTGTAGCAGATAGAGTGGTGCTGTCCCACCCCCTTTGTGCCCTCATTCCATCAGCACTAGCCAGATGGCGGTCGTGTCCAACTGCTGCTGCTCCTCCTCCTCTTCGGCAGGATCCACTCCAAGCTCCACACGGCGATTGTCAAGCCGCACAAGTGTCCTCACTGCTCCAAGAGCTTCGCCAACACATCCTACCTGGCCCAGCACCTCCGCATCCACTCGGGGGCCAAGCCCTACACCTGCCGCTACTGCCAGAAGGCCTTCCGCCAGCTCTCCCACCTGCAGCAGCACACACGGTAAGGGCCAGAGGAGGCTGGGGGCCTGGCCCTGGCCCCCCCACGCTGCCGGCATGCACCTGTGGAGCACGCGCGCCAAGCATGCGGGGGGCGGGCGGGGAATGCGGCCGGCTGCACCCTCAGAAGGAGGTGACCCACCAGAGTGGACGGAGTGGAGGCTGCGCAGGAGACACTGACCACGTCAGGGCTGAGGGGGGCACGGGCGGTCCCTGGGGATCCTTGGTCTTGCACCGTGGGGGGCACAGAGAGAGAGCGATAGAGAGAGAGGCATTGGCTGTAGGGGATCCCAGCCTGGCACCACGGGGGTTGGACTGAGTGTGTGGAAGCTTCTGGCATTGCAGGGGGACAGGGACAGATGAACACTGTAGGTGATCTCAGCCTGATAATGTAAAGGGAAGAGTGTTGGAGTGTCTATCCTGAGAAGGAACAGAGCTACTTTCTTGGTACTGCAGAAGCAAGAGAACAGATTCCTCTTGGTCATATGGGACTCCTGAGCTTGGAGCAGGGAGCCTGGCCCTCCCAGACCCCTTCCCAACCCATTTTCAGGTGGCCCACATGGCGAGCTGGCCAGGCGTTCATAAGCTCTTGTTCCTCAGTCCTAGTCACTCTCTGAAATCTGCTTGACTGCTTATCTTCTCTAACTTCTAGCTGGACACAGGAGCTGGGCAGAGCTCTCTTTGTTCAGATAGAACAGCATCTGGAGGCAACATCATCCCCTTCCCTGCTCTCCTGAGTGGCTGTGAGATTTGATCACAGCATCAGGCCCTGGCAGTCTGCCCTGCCTGTCTGCTCACTGCCTCCCGTTTGTGCTCTTCCTCCTCAACAGTATCCACACCGGGGACCGACCCTACAAATGCGCTCACCCTGGGTGTGAAAAGGCTTTCACCCAGCTTTCCAACCTGCAGGTAAGGGGCTGGGCCTGTCCTGCTCACCAGTGGGGGTGGCAAGGGTGGCTGTCAGGTGGGAGGAGAGGCTACTTGCCTGTGGTGGAGGAGATGGAGAAATTGGGGCAGCTGGGAGGAGAGTGAAAGAATACAGAAAAGCCATTGAAGCCCTCAGCGGGGGAAAGATTCCTGGCTTTTGTGGCACTAGTGACCCAAAGAAGTCACATAAACAGTCACATCCTGTAAAATTGTAAACTTGACTTGAAAGCGGTGAGACCTTGGTAAAGTTCCTCCCATCTGTTCTGCAGAGTTTTCTAACTTAGCTGGGGCAAGACTTTTGCTAAATGTCACGCAGAATAAAATCTGGGTATCCGATTGTTTTTTTTTGTTTGTTCTACAATGAAACGGAGGGCATAAGAGTAAGGGTTTAGGGAAGCACAGGTGTTGTGTCCTGTTGCAGTATCCTGGAAGAGGGGAATTGTAGGGTGTGCCAAATGGCAAAGAGCTGTAAATGCCTGTGAGCAGTTAAAGCAGATCCTGGCCTGAAGGGCAGTGACAGATGTGGGGAGCAAATGTGTAGTGAGGCAGAAGAGGAGAGAAAAGGAAAAGACTTGAGAAAGAGTTGCGTGGAGACTGAGAAGATGCGGGTTGTGGAGAGTTAGGAGACACTGCTCTTCAAATGCCTAGTGTACCTTAGAAAAAACGGCATCTGTGGGGAAGATGTGGTGAGCTGGAGGGAGAAGCTCTGTCCCCTATGCTAGGAGACAGGCGTACCTCCCTCAGCGGGCGGGAGCCTGGGGAGCTTGGGGCCTGGCTGGAAGGGGGTGTCAGAGGTAAAACCTTCTCCAGTACTAATACTCACTTCCCTCCCTGCGCTTGCTTTCTCTTTCCTCTGCCCCGCTGCCGCCCCCCAGTCCCACAGACGGCAGCACAACAAAGACAAACCTTTCAAGTGCCACAACTGCCACCGTGCATACACGGATGCTGCCTCTTTGGAGGTACACCTGGCTACACACACGGTGAAACACGCCAAGGTCTACACCTGCTCCATCTGCAGCCGGGCCTACACCTCGGTGAGTGCTTGCCATCCTGGAGGGTAGCAGAAGTGGACACGCTTTCCAGGGAGTAGCTCCTCCAGATCCAACGGGAGCAGCCCCCTGAGCTGTCGTGTCCCTCCCCCTTGGCTTTGGCTTTTGCGAATGTCGTCCCCTACTCTCACGCCATTCTTCCCGTTGCAGGAGACGTACCTGATGAAGCACATGCGGAAACACAACATCCCTGACCCACAGCAGCAGGTGGTTCAGGCGCAAGCCCAGGCCTCTCAGCAGCAGCAGCACTTCCAGCCGCAGGGCGGGGGGGCAGCAGGGGGCCCTTCTGGAGACACTAACCAACCCAACCCTCCCCCCCAGTGCTCCTTTGACCTGACTCCTTACAAGACTTCAGAGCATCACAAGGACATCTGCCTCACTGTCAGCACCAGCGCCATCCAAGTGGAGCACCTCTCCAGCTCCTAGAGAGACCTCAACCCAGGGAGCAGAAAGCCTCTTGTGCATAGCCTGCGCCCAGGGGCACCGCTTGTGCAGCGGCCCTCCTCGTGCAACAGTCTCCAGCCTCTCCTCCTGCAACAGCCTCTTCTGGCTGTGTAACCCTGTTCATGGCAGCCCCTCGAACAACAGCCTGTCTCAAGGGGGTGCTCCTTCTGTGCAACAGCCTGCCTGGTAGGAGGATGCTTCCTTGTGCAAGAGCCCCTTTCCTGTGCTGGGATCACTTCTTCATGCAAGAGCCCCTCCTTTCAAACCCAAAGAAAGGCCCCCGTTTTGCCTTCTCTCTCACTGTAGGATGCATATGAAGGGGGGTTGCGTGTTGAGACATGCGTGGTGGATGGGATGGAGAGACGGTCCTTGTACGTACAGGGGCTCGGACACATGTTTTCAGCAGGCCACAGAAGAATGTGGCAGGGTTCACAGCTGGATGGGGTTCTTTGAGGATTTCCTTGAGTGTCTGAGAGAAATATCCATTCCTGTCCCTCCTGCTTGTGAAAGGGAGGAGGGGTCACTCGTCCCGCCCCAAGGACTGGATGGGAGAAACCTTCTCCCCAGTGGAAGGTGAGACCAGTGTGGGGGGAGAGGGTGAGGCATGTTCTCTGGGCCAGACAGGTGCCTGCACTGCCCGAGGGCTGTGGAGTATTGCACTCTTTCTCCTCCCCTGGTGGAGAGCAATAGAGAGGATTCTGTCTGAACTGGCTGCTGCCTCTCTCTCCTAGCTGTCTGAGCAGCACGATGGCCAAGGCCCCGTAGGAATGTGGGTTCCTGCTCATTGCTCTTCCTGCCCGTTGTGGATGATGTTCTAGCAGCTTGTACTCCTCCTCCTCTCCCTCCTGCTTCCCCCCCACCTCCTCAGAAAAGCCTGCAGGCATCAACAACAAACCAAAAAGCAACTGGAGGGAGGGTAAGAGACTGCCAAAATAATCATTGCCCTTTTCTCTACTCCCTTTCCTGAAAGGCGGAACGACAGCAGTTCTGACTCTCACACGCCTGTCCTGCCCCCAGTTTCCCAGAGGGGAGGAGGAGGAGGAATAGACCAGTCTTTTCAAGGAGCCAGCAGGAGGCAGGGAAAGGCTAGCTTCTCCTGCTCACCTCCCATCAGAGTGCTCTCCCAGGCTCCCTCTTGCCAAGACGGGCTGGACTCACATGGCAGTGGTGGCCTCTTCTGGACCCTGGTCATGGGAGAGAATCCCCAAAAGGTGGACAGTGGAGAGAAGGGGATGAAGATCCCCACAGAGAGACCAATCTAATGAGAAGGGGGAGCCAACAAGAATAAACTGAAGGCCCCTTGAATTTATATATATATATATATATAAATATCTATTCCCCACCCCTGGCCCGCTCTGTCCTTGCTGTAACTGTTTCTATCTCTGTGTTTATAAAACGCATTATCCTGGCGAATTTTTATTTTCAATCTTCGTTTGTTTTTCCCTTTCTCTTCGTCTTCAATTCTCCTTCCCTTTTTTTTTTTTATTGGTCCACATGACTACTAGTCTTGTGTGTCACTTGTTAGTTTCTTTGGATCATGGAGGCTGACTCGGAAGAGAATGAGAAGGCAAGGGAAAAAGCATGTGTTGTTGGGATTTAAAATCAATCACCCACCCAAAGCCTATAGAATCCTAGACTTCTGTATGAACAACCAATAGGGGCTTTTTTTTTTTTTAACCACCTTGTATAGAAATAAATTGGTGTAAAAGGCTCCTTGAAGGTGCTGCTGTGAGCACCCTGCCCCTGTGACGTGTGTTCCTTCCCCCTGTACCAGACCACTGCACGAGCATCTTGCTGCTGTGAGTCCCGAGCGGCTGTGCGGGTGGACGCGAGGGTAGCACATCCCTGCCTTTGGGCAGCCTTGTGGTTTGCACGAGGAAAGCGAGGAGCTCTGCCCTCTGTGCTTTGCACCTCTGGAGCCTGTGGCAGAAACCTTTTTCTCTGCATTTAGTCACCAGGATTGGCTGCGAACGGTTGGAGTGTTTTGTAGATCCATAGGTTAGGCTAGAAGAAGCTGTCTGATTTGACTCCTGCATTTCATAGGTGACATTTCAACCCATTTATCCTGTATTGAGCCCCAGGAACTAATGTGTATTTGGAGTGTGTGTTGACAAAATGCATTGGCTTGGTTTTGAGGCATTGGGACACACAGAATCCCTTCCATTGGTAGCCTGCTGCAAGGGCTTCATGTTCTCGCTGTTTAAATATTTAAGCCCGATTTCTCCTTTGGATCTGTTTGGCTTTGGCTTCCAGTTACTAGTTCTGGATACATCCATCCCACTGATTCAGAGACCCTTAGAGCACAGTGGGGCTTTTTCCCCTGGACTGGTATTTAAACACTGTAATATCCCTTCTCAGTCCACTTTTTGACAAATAGGTGGAACTCCTTAAACCTTCCACTGTAAGGGATTTCCTCCAGTCCATGAATTATTCTTGTCTTTTCTTTCTACATCTTGTCAAATTTTTCAGTATCTTGTAAAAATGTTCCTTTTGGAATTGAGTGTTCAAGCCCTGGTGCCATGGACAAGGTCCCCCTGCCCTTTGCCTTAAGTCTGCAGAGGATTGCGTTTGCCCTTTTCTCGCAGCATTATATGGGAGCTCACATTAGCTGCTTGTCTGGTGTGACCCCTAGATCATCCGAAGTCTCGGCTTTCCGTGCTAGTGTTTCCCCCTTTCTACAGGTATGGTCCGAGTTCTTATTTCCTAGATACTTAACGTGAGGCTGTATCGAAGTCCAGTTTGTGTGAATGGACCTGGCTTACTGATGGTCCAGGTTACTCGACGCTTTCCCAGGTTTGTCACCCACAAACTGTATCAGTTGTTATTTTTTACTTTTGGATCCAGGTTGAAAATGCTATATTGCATCTGACCTACACTGACGTGAAAAGCATCATTCAGTGCAACTTTTTATTAGCTTCTTGTTGAGACTTGCAGGTTAGGCATTTCTTAATCCTCTTAGTATGTGATTATGTACAGTAAATCTTTTTGACTTATGGTGCTAGGTCAATGCCTTACAAAAATTTAAGTATGTTGCACCTATGCAGTCCCCTTTGTTAAACCAAATGTATAATGATGTCATCTAAGAATGAGATTAAGGTTTGGGTTTTTTCTTTTTTCTACAAAATCTATATTTCGTAAAACCTTTGGATTATAGGTTTTATTTTTCATTCATTCATTCTTCATCTCAACAGCTTTTCCATAATTTTGACATTGAATCACTTCATTTGCCTTTTGGGAATACTGTCATGAATGTCTTAAGGTATTTCTCTAATATCCCAAGTTTAATTAAAATTGGAATCAATGGGCTAGAGAGCTTGTTAGTGAACTCTTTTAGGACTCCTGTTTCCTTGCTGACTTAAAAATATACATCCCTACTAGGTGTTGTCTGATTCCTACTTTGATACTAAGGTACTGGATAGAAGTTGCTATTTTTGTACGACTGCACATCCTGTTTCTTTCTGAATATGGAATTGGAAGTATTTCTTGACCGATTGCCCCTGCTCTGTGTCACTAGGATTTTCACCATTTTTATCTCGCATGGATCAGTACTGTTAGTAAGATTTCTTGTTTATTTTTTATTTAAAGAAAGGAATGAAAGATCCACAATCCCTTTCCTATTACCAGTAGTTTTGCTAACCACAAAGCTTTCCTTAACAATTTTCTCTGTTTTATAATGTCTAATTTATGTTGGTTGCTGTCTGGCCTTCCTCTTTTCTGTGTGTTATGTTTCAGGGTTTTTTTTAAATTGTTTCTTCTTGCTCACAGACTTTCTCGCTGAACCCAGGATGAGCTTTTACCAAAAGTTATCCTCTTTCTTGATTGTGGAATTAGGGCTTTTTTGGCCACATAATAATTTTTTCTTACAGAAGAGTTTCATTCACATTTTTCTGCCTTAATTCTTTTTTCTCATGGACAACACAGTTTATAGTTTTGCTCACCTTGGAAATCAGCACAGATTCAGCACAGGTTTATTACTGCTTGTGGCTCTCCTCTGCATGTCCATAATCCATATGAACAGGACAAAATTGCCAGTTTCATAGAATCATAGAGCAGTTTGGGTTGGAAGGGACCTTTAAAGGTCATCTAGTCCAACCCCCCCTGCAATAAGCAGGGACATCTTCAACTAGATCAGGTTGCTCAGAGACCTGCTCAAGTTATTATCTTGTCTTGTATGCATCACCTTGAAGTCTGAAAAATTGACTTGTTTTGGGTGCAGTGTCGTGTATTAAGAAAGCTACAGTTTTAAAAGTTGGAAAGGTGTTTTGCCAACTGATTGAATTCCCTGGGGAATAGCTCACAAGTTAAAATTCTTTGCAGTGGTTTCTCATTTTATATGTTCAAGGTGCTTGAAATCGCCTTTCCTGGTCCCTGGTTTGATGTGTTGTTTTCTAACGTTTGCTATCCTTCCCCTTCTTGGCATCTGTTAACTCGCCTGGGGATCCATATGTATGTGTACAATTCCTGTGTTATCAGTTATTTCAAAGGTGTTATTGCTTGTGTTTGTGCACTTTACCACTGCTCCTATAGCTTTTACTGTCGCCCAGGAAGAAGCTAATGATTTTTTTAATAAGGGACTTTCCCATCAGGTTTCAGAAATGCCACTTTATTCCAGGTCTCTTTTTTTTTCCTCATCAATTAAAATTTCTTACTTCTCTGTTTACCCAGAGTCCTGTTGCTGGTGTAGAAATAATTGAAGATACCTTACTCTCATTATCTTTGTCACTTATTTGAGTTTGGATTAGGTCATCTTCTTTGGATTCCTGAGGCTGTTTAACATATTCAAGGTGCTTCAGGTGGTTTAAAAAGTATAGTTGCTACTTGTGGCATGCAAAATGTAACATCTATACAAAATTCTTCCCTCTTGAGATGAAGCCTCGGGTTCCACAGTCTGCAGCTTTTCAACTTGGTGCACTCAAGCCAACAACAGTTCAATTATTTAACTCCCACTCACAAGAGTGGAAGATTCTGTAACAAGATCCCATGGTCCTTCCTCTTCAGCTCCCTCAGTTCTTTGACCCTGCATTTTCTTTGTGATGCCAATCCATTTGTTTCTGTACGTCTGTACCCAAGAAGACTTGACAATGACTCTGGAGCTCTGTGTTAGGTTGCATCTTGTATCTTTGCTGGAAGGTGGTAGCACTTTTTCTTCTCATCCTTTACTGAATCGGTTGTCTGTTCTTAGCTGGATTTTGCAAATTATCGTTGCTTTAAAAGGAAACATCATGTAGGCTGGAAATCATTTAGAAAAGTCACCCACAAACAGTAACTGAATCTCAGCCGTGACTAATGATAGTATTGCTGGTCTATAATTCAGTTAAATCTTCAAGAAAGATTTAAGACTTTCATAATTTAAAGCCTTATGGTTAATTAACCACATCCGTTATTAGAGTTTTTTGTTGGTTATCACTGCCATTAAAACTGCCATTCTATTTTACTGCTTTTTTTTTTTAATCCATAGGGTCTTGTTATGCCTTTGTTCAGTACCTTAAAGTCTTCTGCTATAAGAAGTCTTTTTTTCTTTTGTAATGAATTACAGACCATGATCAAGTCACTGCATTCATCTTTCCAAACAGCTAAATTAAATTGAGCTGTTTTAGGTGTCTCACACTAAGGCTTGGCTACATCCTGTAGTACTTACCTACTGCCTTTCTTTTTCCTTTATGAATGACCAGGCTGTGTAGTGTTCAGTTATAAGTCTTGCTACATTAGGCCTAGACGGTTATCTTGAGCCACCAAACTTACATTGCCATAAAAGGATATGTAGTTCTTTTAATGAGGTCTTTTTCTTTAAATTAAAACAAATGGCATTATGTTTCTTTTCTTAGCTGAGTGCAACCCATATCAACTACACTGTGATTTTGCCAAATCAGTGTTAGGTTAACTGGCTTACAACAACCTGAATGATCCCTTTTACTTTTCCAATACTTTTTAAGTAAAAGTATTTGCTGGTCTTGTGGAACACATTCAGAGCTCTAAAGTTGTTTGGAAAAGAAAGCCCATTGCTTCCATCTGCTTGCCAGATAATTCTTTTAAAATTATTGATTGTGAGTTTCTAGCTATGCAACTTCTAGGATGTTTTATTTGATGGGTAGAACTAAACATCCTCCCAAATCTCACTGGCAATAGGTAATATTTCATTACTTCACACATGTCTACATCATCCAACTTTCTTCCTAATATAGAATATAATTATGAGATTCTGCCTGTCTTCTATATTTTTATTGATTATTTTATCATCTTTATATCAACTAAAGGATATATATCATGTTTAGGATTTTCTTCTAATATTTTGCAGGTAATGTACCCGAAAGCTGCCCAAGTTTACTAGTGCAGTTTCAGAACATAGAATGAAATTGCTCTGTACATTTCCTTAACTACAAGATAGGTACCTGTTCAATCGTCATTTCAGGTACAACAGATTAAATTTGTGTGCATGGTTTCTTGTTTCTGTATAGTAGAACACCAAAGTACTAGAGAGATGTAGTAACTTGGTCCAACAAACATTTCGATTTCATGTAGTGTCTATGTAATGAAAAAAAAAAACTGCAAGAAAAGAAATCATGACACCAAAGAACTAGAGTCTATGCCTAGTTTTGCTACTGAATTAGGATACGTTTTTGGAGTGTGGACACAGCTATAATTTGGGGCCTTTGGTGGCATCCTCTTTCACTTGTAAAGCTGATTAACCACCTTGGGGGCAAGTGCTGCAGATCAATTGTTTGATGTTTGTGAGAATGACATGTGGGTACATCCAGTCTTCCCTGAAGAGAAGGAAATGCAGAGCAGGGACCTCTGAACTGAGAATGTTAAAGAGTGAGAAGAGCTGAATGTGTACCTCTACAGCAAAAAGGGAACCAAACAAGACTCTGAAGTTGTAGGCCTCCTGCTGGGGTATGCATAAAGATCCCTCTCAAGCACGGGTCTTTACCTTGTGGTCCTTCAACATTTAAGAGGTCTGTAAGGTAACTGAAAAGCTAGAGGCTTAAATTTGGTATGCAGATGTTTACATTTCCAAGGGAAAATACACAGGCATCTGTAGATCAATAAAGGTTGAGAACCACTACTCTAGACTACTTCAGTAGGCTGTTTAGCTTCCCTTTGAGAGATGTGTAGGCCCTTCTGGGCAGTACACCCACCCATCAGTCAGGTCTTTCATGTAACTAGGAGGTATTTACCAGTTTAACTATAGGATGTAATTG